GCATTGCCTGAAACAAATGTAATATCAAGACAAGGACGTGGACGTGGATGTAGATATGGACCAGGATTTGGACGTGGATGCGCACGTACACGCGGAGTAAACCATGGACGAAGTAATCAACAAAGTTATCGACAAAGCAACAATTTCAAAAGGCACAAAACAAATGAAAGTAGCATATTCAAAAAGGTACACGAAGAAAGTTGCTTTAAATGTGGAATGAAAGGGCATTGTACACGTACCTGTCATACAGCAAAACACCTTGTGGATCTCTACCAAAAATCAATCAAGAGAAAGGGAAAAGTTAAGACAAATTTTGCTAATTATGATGGTCCAAATGATGTAACTCATTTGGATGTCTCTGATTTCTTTACTGATCCAAATGGGAATATTGGTCATTTGATTGGGTGTGGTGTGATGGAAGATATAGATTAATTTGTTTTATGCTAGTATTTCCTTTTATTTTAGAAATTTAGTTTGAAACATATTTTTACTTTTCGCAAAAAATTTGAACTTTATTATGCATCGTTAATTTCAATGTATTAATTATGCTTATCATTTTAAATTTAAATTCAATTTTTAAAAAAAAATATATATATCTAATTTGTTATAATGATATATTCATGATAGATTGTCAAAATACCTGCTTGATTGATAGTGCAACTACACATACTATTCTTCAAGACAAAAAATATTTTCAGAACTTAACATTGAAAGAAAATAATGTCAATACAATATCATGCGCATCGAATATCATTGAAAGCTCCAGAAGAACTTGTATTATTTTACCAAATAATACAATATATACGATGCACTTTATTCTAGCAAATTCAAAAGAAATTTGTTTAGTTTTAAAGATATCCGCTGCAATGGATATCATATTGAGACGATGCAAGAAGATAATACTGAATACCTTTGCATAACTTTTTTTGTATCTGATCAGAAGCAGATAAAAGAAAAATTTTATACACTCTCATCTGACATGTATTATACATTTATAAAAATGGTTAAATCAAATAATGCCATGAACCAGAAGTTCGTGACACAAAAAGCTTTATTATTTAGCATGATCGACTTGGACATTCAGGAGCTATAATGATGCATCGAATAATAAACAATTCACATGGACATCCTTTAAAGAATCAGAAGATTCTTTTACCTAACAATTCTTCATATGTAGCTTGTTCGCAAGGCAAGTTAGTCATTAGACCTTTAACTACAAAAGTCAATATTGAATCTTCAATTTTCTTGGAAAGAATTCATGGAGACGTGTTTTATGGTATTAATTGATTCTTCTACTAGATGGTCACATGTTTGCCTACTTTTACACTAGGAATGTAGCATTTGCTAGACTACTTGCTCAAATTATAAAATTACGAGCACAATTTTCCGATTACTCAATTAAAACTATTTGCATTGACAATACTGGTGAATTTAGATCACAAACATTCGATGATTATTGTATGTCAATCAGGATTGTAATTAAACATTCAATTGCGCATGTCCATACACAAAATGGTTTGGCAGAGTCGTTTATTAAACGTCTACAACTTATTGCTAGACCATTACTTATGAAAACAAAACTTTCAACTTTTGTTTGGGGTTATGTCACATTACATGCTGTATCATTGGTTCGTATTAGACCAGTTGCCTATTATCAATATTTACCTTTGCAACTGGCTTTTGGTTGTAAACCTGATATTTTTCATCTATGGGTCTTTGGTTGTGCTGTCCAAGTCTCTATTTCACCCCCCACAACGTACTAAAATGGGCCCCCAACGAAAACTTGGTATTTATGTGGGTTTTGATTCACCATCAATTATTAGGTATCTTGAGCCTTTAACAGTGACTTATTTATTGCACGTTTTGTAGATTATCATTTTGATGAAATGACTTTCCCAATTTTGCAAGGGGAAAAACTACATCCAGAAAAACAAGGTAAAATTACTTGGAATGAAGCAACTCTATCTCATTTTAATCTCCGCAGCAATCAATGTGAGCAAGAGGTTGAAAAATCATTCATTTGCAAAAAGTTTCAAATCAATTACTTGATGTATTTGTTGACACAAGAAATGTGACAAAGTCATATGTTCTTGCAAAAATTGATGTCCCTATAAGACAATTTGCTGTAGCAAATGAATCTTAATACGTCAGAAGCATGGTCGACTAGTTGGTTCAAAAGACTCTGTACCTCGAAAAAGAAAGGTACATGAGAAAAACCAAACAAAAATTTCGGAATAAATCATGTTAGAAAAATTTGATCAATCAAATATTGAAAATACAATTTTTGAATAATCACAAGTGTTCGGAAATAATGAGATTTCAATAAATTATATATTATTTCATAAATTATGGGAACGAAATAATATTGTTATAGACAACATTTTCGCCTTTAATGTGGCACTAGATATTATGCAACATGAGGATCCTGGACTACAGTTGGTTAAAGACTATCAAAATAGAAATGATTGACCAAAATAGAAAGAAGTCATGCAAGCAGAATTGAATTCTTTGGAGAAACGAAAAGTGTTTGGACCCGTAGTTCGAACACCTAAAAACGTAATCTCTGTTGGATACAAATGAGTTTTTATACGAAAGAAAAATGAAAATAATGAAATCACGAGATACAAAGTCCGACTAGTAGCTCAAGGTTTCTCACAAAGACCAGGAATTGATTATGAGGAAACATATTCTCCCGTAATGGACACCATTATTTTTAAATTCTTAATTAGTTTGACTGTATCACAAAAACTTGATATACGCCTTATTGATGTAGTAACTGCATATTTGTATGGTTCACTTGATAGTGACATATATATATGAAAGTCCCTGAAGAACTTAAGGTGCCAAGAACAAACGATACATGCCCGAAAACCACGTCCTCAATTAAATTGCAAAGATCATTATATGGATTAAAACAATCAGGACACATGTGGTATAATCGCCTTAGCAAATATTTGTTGAATGAGGGTTATAAAAATGACGATGTCTGCCCATGTGCTTTCATAAAAAAAAAAAAAATAGTGGATTTACAATTGTGGCAGTTTATGTTGATGATTTAAATTTAATTGAAACTCCTGAAGAGCTCAACAAAACTGCTAATTATTTGAAAAATGAATTTGAGATGAAAGATTTGGGAAAAATCAAAATTTTTCTTGGATTGCAGATTGAACATTTCGCAGATGGATTATTTGTTCACAATCTACGTATATAGAAAAAGTTTTAAAACATTTTTACATATCCATTGACATCATCTATGGTTGTTCGATCACTTGATATGAAAAAAGATCAATTTCGCTCACTTAAAGATAGTGAAAAGGTTGTTAGTCCTGAAGTACCATATCTTAGTGCAATTGGAGTATTAACTGATCTTGCCAATTGCACTCGACCCAACATAGCTTTTTCTGTAAAATTTCCTTGCAAGATATAGCTCTACATAAATTCAAAGATATTGGAATGATGTTAAACATATTTTCGTTACCTAAAGGGTACCGTTGATTTGGGATTATTTTATTCTCAAAAGTCAGGATCTACTTTAATGGGATATATAGATACAGATTATCTATCTGACCCACATAAAACTAAATTACAAGCAGGTTATGTATTTACACATGGAGGAACAGCTATATCATGAAGATCTGTGAAGCAATCATTGACAGCTGCATCCTCAAATCATTCTGAAATTATTGTAATCCATGAAGTAGGCCGAAAATATGTGTGGTTGAGAAACATGACCCATCATATCTAAGCATCATGCGGATTAACTTCAACAAATGATAGTCCAACAATTTTGTATGAAGACAATGCAACTTGTATTGCACAACTCAGATGAAACTATATCAAAGTTGACTGGACGAAGCATATTTTTCCAAAATTCTTTCATACACACGAGTTTCAAAAGAATGACGACATCGATATACAATAAATTCACTCAAGTGACAATGTGACCGATTTATTCACAAAAGCACTGTCAACATCTACATTCAAGAAATTAATTCATGAGATTGGAATGCGTCGATTCAAAAATTTTCAGTGATCAACATCAAGAGGAGTAACTGTACTCTTTTAACTTCGCTTAGGTTTTGTCTCACTGAATTTTTCTAACAAGGTTTTAATGAGACAGCATTTATTTTTAGTACTCCAAAAAACTGTACTATTTTTCCTTCGTTTTGATTTTTTTCTCATTGAATTTTTATCAAATAAGGTTATAATGAGACAGATATTTTGTAATGTGTCCTTCAAGGAAGAGTGTTGTAAAAGAAAAGTTTATTAAGATTTATAGGTAAATGACAATTACACCCCAACAGCCTTAGAAATAATTACTGTTGTATCTTTGATTCTGTCCTATAAATACAAGACTTTGATTTTTAATAAAACGCACAAGTCTATTGACTTCTCTCTGTTCTCTTCTCTTTTCTTCACTTTTAAAACAACCTACTTTTTTATGAAAGCAAATCAACCGAACTCTACAAGTTGAACATATAAATTGCATTGTAAAATGTCACTGATAAATATCTAGCATAGAAATTAAACTATTAAACATGTTAAAGCATCTTTAATCTCATTCTCTAGATATGAGAAATTAAAGGGAACAAGCACCAAATGGTTCCTAAGCCATAAGATTTCAAAGACTCTCAAGTAAGGCTCTAAGGGAACGAATTAACCTACCCATTCCAACTAGGGAAAACAAAGCCCCTTATCGAATTTGAACTGATGACTTACGCCTTTCCATGACATTACTCTACCACTGAGTTAAAAGGGCTTCAGAGAGAGCCAAAAGGAAATTCGGTTTCCATTCCTCAAACTCTTAAAACAATAATCAAAGTGAGATGCAAATGATTGACAAATCAGGGATGATCCAACCTGATGATTTCGACTCAGTTCGACCATTCTTGCTTACACCCTATAATCCACTACACAATTTAAATATTCCATCATGATGCTGCATTAGAAAAACAAACACTACACATTCAGCAAAATATAGACATGGGAACAGCGGTGGATTCACAAAAGTGATGCCCCAGAAAATCGAAAGCTTTCTCCCGGTATACTCGATTCATAGTCAAACAGAGCAGCTATTCAAAACAATTTTTTTATACATAATTTATCTTTAACTTCAAACATAAATTTAGCTTTTAGAAATTAGAAACATCAATCCTCAACATGATAAAAGTTTGGTGCCAAATGGAAGTAGCCTTTATGAGAAAATGGGACACAAATTTTCATATGGCCAATCACAGTTTCTGAATAACGACCGAATTCAATAACCCGGCTTGCTCAATTGTCTGGTTCGGATCGGCAAGAACCTTGGGGGGAAATCCAACTGATTGCAGCTGATAAGTACTGGTTCCTCCAGGCCTAGATGCATCAATGAAGGAACGGAGATCACCTATTGTATGGTGATAGTTGAAGCGTGCTACCATGCGCGTTCCATCAGCCAATCTAAGCTGAATTGAGGTGGATGGCAGTGATTGATCCACCACCAAGCCTGCAGAAGGTGATGGAGCAGTTCTAAGGGAAGCAGAAACAGATGGCTCTACCACATTCTCAGTTGAGGAGCTACTTCCTAGAGTTCTACCTGTACCTTGAAATGAAACCTGACGTTTCTCAGGTTCCTGCAAATACATGAAAAAATGTAGTTACTTATTTCCTGGATTCTTTCACGTTCACAGGCATTTATAACAGAAGTAGAATCAGTAATTGGAGAAGTCAAAGGATTTTTACAATAGATAACTGTGCATTTGAACTTACTAAACTATCTCTTCTTCCCATATATAATCTAAAATAGTAAATAGCCAGGACACTCATTTAGTGCGCTAGTATTGTCTTTCAAAACTCTCAAAAGTTAACACCAAAGGAAAATGAAGATGTGCAATCGAAACTCATTTGCCTATGCCCATAAAAGATAGGGAGCCTTAAGGTAACGTAAGAGGATTCAGCATAAACTTACAGGGCAATTCTCATCCCTCCTAATGAGATTCACGTGAACAGATGATCTCCTGTCTGCAGGTTCCAACTCTTTAGGGCACTCGGATTTTCTGATGCTCTGCAATAGAATGTCAATACATGTCATCACATCCTGAACAACACTCCAAGAGTAAGATCAAATTATTTTTTCTTTTTGGTTTTGGAGTGGGGTTGTTTATTTTATGAGATGTAAGCAACTCTTGTATTCAGGATATTTGTTGTTTTAACAGTCCTCTCCTAAACATCAACATAATCAGTCATTAAACTACTCAGCTGTAACGAAAGAAGAAAGTAAGCACAAGCAATTAATAAGGAAAAAAATTGGGATGCAACGTATAATGAATGCAAGATGTTGAAATATAGTGGCCGCCAGCAGATGTTAGTCAAGCATGATAATCAGAAACATCATTCCTAAGAAGATCTAATGTCATATTCCAGTTGCTTCTTCTTTTAAGAACTTTTGTAAGTTGTAATCATGCATTGCCTGTTACCTCCAGAAAAGGTGCATTTTCAGGATCATCCAATCTCCTCAGAGGGCCATCATTAACAGTGAAACCATTTCTCCAGAAAACAATGTTGTGTACAACCGATTCAGGCTGCTGGGAAGCAGCAGATGGTGCAGTTTCACCCGAGAGTAACCTTCCAGGCCCAGTAAAGCTTCTTGAACTTGAAGAGGGATTAAGATTTTCCAAGGGGCCTTGCACAGCACCCAACTGCCTCGCTTGATCAAAAATTGCATCCACGTCATTACCCTTTGAAGGATCTTGGACAAGCATACCACTGCAAATTTTATGATTAATAGGCCAATTGATTATGATGCATCAGACATATCAACAGAATGAGATTTCAAAAACATGGCGCCTTTTTCCGACAGCAAAGAGGAAGACGGTGAAGACACGATGTGTGGAGAAAATTATAATATGAAAAAGGTGTAGATCAGATTCAATAACTTCAAGCAACAATAAGCTACCTAGCAGACTCAGGCAAACAGTTCAAGGATTTGGTTCAGCACGCTAAGCATCGAAAAAGAACAAATAAGGAATACAAGTCTTGTTAAGGACCCTAAATCCCTTTTCAGGCAAAGGCTATGTATCTCGAAGGTGTTTGGAAATGTCATGGATAACCGGAAGATGTTTTCTGTACCTAAAGGAACTCTTATTGGAAATAAATTGAATCATAATATTTACTAATTTCTCCAACTTCCAAAATTAAATGTTAAAAAGTCCAATACACATCTATAAACTAATTTTATCGATATAGAAATTTAACGAATTACAAAGGCCCATTTCAGGATTTCAAAAAATTGATATTTTCAGTTATGTGTTGTCCTACTCCAGAGAAACCAACTGATCAAAATTTAGAGTAACTTGAACAGTGAACTAATTTATTGCTTGTCCACGAGAAACTATAATGGAATTATAATGAAAAAGAGTAACACGTCCTACGAAATATGTGGATAGTAAGTGAATAATGGTTGTGATACATAATATTTCCAAACGTGCAACTAAACGTCAACAAGAACATCAACTAGTCCTAGGCTCCTAGTTATATTGCATTACTACAGGATTACAAGACATATTAGCTTTGAGCAAATGTAGCAACACCAAAATTGCCCTGCATACAACTCAACCTCAATCTTTCATATGCGTACTCCAACTCCATATAGAAATTTCAATTTTCAAATATGTGGATAATAAGCAGGTAATAGTTGTGAATGTGCACTTATAAGTAATGTCTGGATTTGACTTTAAAATAGAAGAAATTTGTAATTTTTCCCAATCAACTAGTCTCAGGCTCCTAGCTGTGTTACATTAATAGAGGATTACAAGAGATACTATTTTTAAGCACATGTAGCAACAAAAAAATCGCCCCACATACAACTCAAGTTGAATAATTTAAATGTGTATACTCTTCAACTACATATAGAGATATTCAATTTTCGAAGTTTTAAAGTATATGATTGGGATCTTGGATCGGAAATTCAATGCCATAGTATTAATCGTCAGGAGATGGTCCAATTACACATTTGTCCGTAGTAGAAAAACGTAATTTACAACAACCCTGTCACATCCTACAAAAAATCAAGCCCAGAATGACACACACACTTCCATTCAACCATAAATGTAACGAAAAACTAATAATTAGGTAAATCGCGAGCAAGATAACACAACAGGGTTTTTTCTGTCTATCCGGATTTAAAAACGGACCTCTTTTCGCCACCTGTGTAGTACTCCTGGGGGCCATCCGAGTCACTGTCCGAGTCATGGCCAGATGGCCGATTCAAGTCGGAGAGGGTCCGTATGCCGCCGGGGCGGCTGCTCGAGGGTTTTGAGGGTTTCTTGTCGCGCGAAGACATGATTACTATAATTTCTATAATCTAGACTAGAATTGGGGATCTTGGTGGAAGAGCGTGAGTCGGTGAATCTTGGCTTTCTTATTAGGCTATCTTATTATCATAATTCTCGAAATAAAAATATCACTTTTAATTAGGTAATTAGCACTAACATTTCTAATTTTCAATATTATCATAGAAAACGCCATTTCTTACATTTTTTTTTTTCAGTAATTTTACTCTTAGATAACATTTAATTGCGAGCATGAAATTTACATGAAAAAAAAATTCTAAATCTAAAACTTATTTGTATGAAAATTATTAATTAAATGTGTTTGATTGATTTAATTTTCAACTTTAAAAATATTATACTTATCCATTTTTAATTGGTGGATTAACGAGTGAGAAGTGATAGATGAGAGATAGAAAGAGAAAGTAGATTCCCTGAGAAAAAAAAATCATAATCCACCTAAAGAAAATATTTTCATTGATTTATAGAAAAATATGATCATGTGATCGAAAGTAAGAAAATGTTTTATATGAAATAAAGTCAATAAAATATCACAAAAATCGAAATTTGGATGGTAAATCACATTTTTTATGAAAAATATTGACAATCAAACATATCCTTGCCTTTGATTGTCAAAAAATGTCTTCCCGTCCGTTTACCATTAATATTTTTGTTAACTGAACACAAAAAATCAATTTTCTTTTCAAAATAAAAGGGTAATATGGTTTTACAAAAATTTTCTTTTCTTCCCCTTCAAAACTTTCCCCATTTCTTATTGCATTCCTCCTCTTCTCTCCTTGCCGCAGGGTGGAAGGCATTGAAGCAAGCAAAGGTAAATAACCACATGCATTTCTTAGCGCTTGTTTGGGCGCCATTTATGGCCAAAATAATGTATTTCGGTCACATCTACTGGGGCGTCGACTGGGTTGACCGGAATGTGGAGAATAATTTTTGTTCTTCATTTTTTACCCCGTTCTTGTTGTTTGTGATACATGATGTTTCAATTGTACGGCCTAACAATTGCTGCGTATGCAAACGATGGAAGAACGGGCAAAAATGGAAATATTGTGTACAAAGTTTGAAATTATACAATAACTTGTATTGTCTTTGTCATATGAAAATTAGTATAAAATAGTCGCCAATGGTCGAAATTCTTCTACAAATGGGTTCAAAATTGGGACCAAACAAGCACTTAATAATGACTTGTGAAGCCCAGATGATTAATTCCTTTTCATGATTTAGTTATGGAAAAATTTCATAACTAAGAAATTAATTATGGCACATTTCAAAAATAAGAAAACAAGTTTTAAATTTTTAAAATCAGATTTTTATTAAAAATTATTTATAATTTAATTAGTTAATTAATTATTTTATTAATTAAATATATTTAGGTCACAGATCTATACAATTTGGTCATAAATTAACAATATAATTAGTACTAATTATTTTTTGGTCACAAATTAAAAATTTTATGTCACAAATTTTTTTACGATCACATTTCAAAAATTTTGTAAGTCACAGTTTGTTTATTGGTCACAAATCAAAAAATAATTAGTCACGGATTAATTTTTAATCACGACTTATCATATTATTGATCACAACTTTTTTTTCGATCACAAATTAAAAATTTTATAGGTCACATATTATTTTTCGATCACGAATCAAAAAATTTATAGGTCACAGATTAATTTTTCGGCCACAACTCAATAAATTATAAGTCACAAACACAAATTTTATAAGTCACATTATTTTTCGATCACAATAAAATTTTTTATAGGTCACAGATTAATTTTTCGTTCACAACTCAATAAATTATAAGTCACAAACACAAATTTTATAGGTCACATATTATTTTTCGATCACGAATAAAAAAATTTATAGGTCACGAAATCAAAATTATTATTAGTCACAGATCAAAAATTTTTTAGGTCACAATTCATTGATTAGTCACAAAATCAAAATTTAAATTGGTCACAATTCATTTATCAGTCACAAATTATATCAAAATAATTGGTCACAATTAATTTTATGGTCACAAATTAATAAATTACAAGTCACAAACCAATTTATTGGTCACAAATAACCAAATAATTGGTCACAAATACCCCGTCCCATCCCGTCGACCCCCAATCACCACCTGCCACGACCACCTTCAACTCACCGGTATGCAAAACCACCATCACAGCAACCACCCACACCACGTCAATGTAAAATCACCGTCACAGTAACCACACCATCACACACCAAACTCCGAAACCAATAACCTCCACTGCCGCCAGAAAACGACCACGATCGCAGCCACCAAACACACCAACAATAGCACCGCACGCCACCAAAGTCACCACCACCGCATCCTTACACCACCGCACACCACCACCGCTCCACAACCCATGGCACAACACGAGGAGAGGGAGGAGAGCGAGGGCTTCACTCCGACGGCATCGAGTCACTCCGGCGTCGGCGACGCCCGCGTTGACGCTCTCAGGTTGAGAGGTTTCACCTACCAACCACCAATACTTGTATCCTCAACTGTCACCTCCAAATTCCGCCACCACCTCTACATCACTAATTGTCGTCGATCGCTATGCTTCAACAGTCCTTTCTTTGCCTCACGTCAGTCCGTCACTAACTTTTCTTCTCCAACGACAGCATACACAACCCAGCTCCATCTGTCGACCAAGTTTCCACGCACTCCGCTCCTCACACCACCGCACCACCACTGAAAAATCCTCGAAGTCAACGTCACTACTACCGCCACCACACCACCATCAAAAAATTCCCAAACTCGACGTCGTCTTGTTGCCACAACCATCACCACTGCCTATTTCAACATCCACCAATACATCCACCTTAAATCAACCATTTCCTTCAACTTTACCAAAAAGCACCAGCACCAGCATCGCCTCAAAACACCGCAAACACCACCACAACAACTGCATGCAACCAACAAAACCTCAAACCAAAAATTTCGGCACCAGATTGCGATCAGATCTTGACCGGATTTCCCCAAATTTTTCAATGTGAGTGGCCACAATGCTACGGGCGTTTTCTTTAGGGGGGAGAGAGAGAGAGAGTATTGGGAATAAATTAGGGTTTGTGTGTGTAATGGAGTATATATATTTAGTAAAAATATTTATTTTAAAAAAATATTAATTAAAATAAAATTTCTGACTTTTGAAAGATTAAACTATCCATCTTATTTTAGAATTGTAAATTTTTAATGTATGGAATTGCGTAATTTCCACTTTAGTTATATATGTTTCCATTAATACAACTACGAGTCTACAATTATGTTGATTGCCACGAGTCTTTTATATTGCTAGCTTCATAAAAGATTACAGGGAGTTTCTACAAGTAATCATGTTGAAGATTTGAATTCAATTGAGAAGATCTCAACGGATTATTATACACAAGAAGAAATGCTTAAATTTTAAAAGCCAAAGAAAAATAAGCCTTGTTTGAGCCCCATTTTTTTCCCATCAAATTACATTTCCAACAGTGATTTTACTGCACTTTAACCACACATTCTTCAATAAAATAATATTACATGTAAATTCATGATTTTTCTTTATTTTTTAACCACACATTTTCTATCAATATACTATTCAAAAATGCATTTTTTTTTTACAAGAATGGGGCTCAATTAAGGACTAAATCATTGAGGAAGAATAGACACTCTTGAAGCAGAGGCTATTTTTGCTGGATTGGATGCTAAGGATCTTGGTTCACGAAATGATGGCTGGCGAAATCTCATGGCGGAACAAGAGAACTTTGAATTGTGCGCTATTTACCTTCGTTCGCCTCAATACACTTCACTACATGCTTTCACCGCAAGACGATGAATGGGGAGGAGATGAGAAGAGAAGGGAAGGAATGCCCTAAGAAATGGAGAGGACTGGGGAAATTTGAAAGGGAAACCGCGGAGTAATTGTGCCGGCGTAAGGGAGGAAGAAAAGGGATAATTTTATATGACTACATCACCCTTCCATTTTGAAGAGAAAATTGAATTTTTATGTTCAAATCATGGAGCTATTCACAGTACTAGTCTGCGTCTCGTGCGTTGCACGAATTTTGTATTTATTTTGGTTTTATTAGCGTAGAATTTATAGATTGTACAAAAAGTATTTGAAAATAAGAAATGTATGTGTGATTCTCATCTTTTGATCAACTGTATATTTTATGTCATGATAATTTATTTTTATTCTTATAAATAAGTATAATGAATATTGTGATTGTATATATGTCAACGATAATTTATTTTTAATTATTTTTTGTATTTTTTGTTTAATGTGGATGAAGATTTTTTTTTATCTGATATTGCAAATAAGTTGTAAATTGAATTTTGCAAAATGCTTTTCTTTAGCAATTTCGATTCGAGAGGCTATACTTGTAGTTCAAAAATAACTCATACAGTTGTAAATTGAAAGAGAATATCCACATACACAAACATTTAAATAACAAACTCAGGTTTACACGTAAAATAATTTGAAGTGGCACTTACGGGATGACCAACTCCCTTATTGGTGTAAGAATTAGAACCCTAACAGCAGGCCTATTTTTCAAACGATACAACAGTCACTCCAAGGTTGGTAGGGCAAAAGAATTTAAAAAAAAAATTTAATAAATTTTATTTGAAAAAGAAAAGAATTAAAAAGAAATTTAAATAAATTGATAAAAAAACCAATTATTTATAAAGTAAATTTTTCAATTTTAATTAAATAATATTTATATATTCTTCATTTAATTTTCATAACTTTATTTTATTTTTTACTTCTAAATAATTTTAAACGAATTTTTTTACTTATATAAGTAATTTTTACATATATTAGAAATATTTTTTGTTAATATGTTTATTTTTACATTTTTTTTTTTACTAAAAGTGATTTTTTTTTTTTACTTATAAAAGTGGTCAACACGGAGTAATACGGGAGGTATGAAAAGTTGCGTATTACATAGATTCACATTGTCTCTCTTACACTATATATATAATATAATAAAATAAGCAAATGAGTTGATTTGAAAAGGTGTGCCATAGCGTATGAAAATGGAGAACGGAAAAGTAAAAAAAAATAAAAAAAATTGAATAATCCTCTGTGCACGGAAACCACACTATATATAATTTTTTTTAATTCTTTTTTCATCAATTTTTT